GGTCAAGCAATAAAAGCTTTCCCCTTGGCACATCTTGTGACTGCTGTCATCATCGTCATCATTGTTTGCAGATGTTCTCAAAATAAGTTTGCGGCACTGTTTGGCATAAGTGGGGGGGGGGGCATTTAGCCCTTTCGATAGTTCCTTCCGTTAGTTCCTTCCAGCTAACAGTCTCATCAACGTGAGTCGTGTAAACTTTGTCAGGTGTGAACAGAGCTCATATACCACAGCTTTGCGAAAATTTACAATCTTTCACAGCAAGCATCGTCAGTGATCGATGGCAACCAGAAAAATGCACCCTTCATGGTGACCTGCGCCTGAATTTACTTATAATATTATATTATGTTTGAAAGGAGCAAAAAGGCAGCATTATAAAGACGAGCAAAAAGGCAGCATGATAAAGACGATGTTCCAGCTAACGCGCTACTGTTAGATATGAGCGCGGTGCAATTGATTATTTACAGAGCGAAACATCGGCACGGTCCTTACCTCCTTCAGCGAGCGTTGGAAACATACGACCACCGCTGAATCGCGGGCAAAGCCAGTGAGTTTCTCAACGATGTTGCTCTCTTTCTTTGTGTTTGGCAGCTATCGGTTTATCTTAACCTTTGTTGTTCAGCTGACGTTCATTTATGAGCGCAAAGTATGTTTGTTCCCGGATTACACCTACAAATTGCCTCATTCTCACTATCATCAGGCCTCCCAAAGTGCCTAATGTAAGTTCCTAACTGAAAATTAAGTTCTATTTGGCTAGATGTATTGATAAAGTAGGAAACGAGAGGAGATTTCGATAGCATTCCACCAATATGTTCGTCTGCCGGGCACTATTTACCTTCTACTATTACATCTTTCCGAAATGAGGCTAGATGTTCATGAAGTTTTGCCCTTGAAGTGAATTTGACGGCAGTCTCTCCTGCGAGCGGTTTCATACCCCTCCCCCGAACACAGTATTGCATCAGCTTGCCTTAGGAAGAGCTGGTATATGCTATTCAGCCATTACTAATCCAAGCCCAGTTTTTCGAAGTTGACTTGAACTTCAGATTTTGCTAGAATGTCGTCCCTAAGGCTCATTCAACCTCCTGAACACGAATATCGTAGCAGTTTTGCGCAAGGATTGTTATTCCGCGCGCTACAAGCGCCGGCCCAACGGCGAAGGCCGCAGAGCCTATTTACGAAAAAACAGTGGAGGGGGACCTCCATCACTCCGTTTGGCAAACTTATTTATTTATTTTTATTTACTTATTTACAATGCATCCATAGGACGCACTACAGCAACGGTCATGAATCACCAGGTAACGGTAAAGGTATATGAGCAAGAAAAGTAAGTGATGACGAAGATTATTTCGCATTGAGTCATTATTATTATTATTATTATTATTATTATTATTATTATTATTATTATTATTATTATTATTATTATTATTATTATTATTATTATTATTATTATTATTATTATTTTATTATTTTGGCAAATTGGATGGTAATTCGAGTGTCAGCTGTTTCATGACGCGCCATATAAAAGCGTTGACATCCGATACACGCCGTTCGGATTAAGACCACGCTTCAAGGGCAACTGTTTCTATCAGATCTAGGGCCCGAAAAAGAAATTCAGAAAACGAAATTCGGGGCTCGGTTTTTGAAAGAGTGGGACAATAATGTGCAAATAGCGTACCGTCTCTTGCCGCCAGGGGCTCAGTCGTTCTTTTAATACTTTGTACCAAAATTCCTTATGGAGCAGTTGATTTCCTTGCTTTGTCAATGTTATGTTTCTCAGGATCCAAATGGCTTTGAATGGCTCAGCAAACTTCGTCGGTTGGAACGATTCCGAAGGTGAGATTCGACGCAACTGGGGTTCAAGACGACTGCGATTTCTAGCCAAAAAATATAACCTGAATCAACATCATGCCCTCAGCGAAGGTGAGCGATGTTTAGCTTGGATGTTCGTTTCGTTTCTTGATTATTTCTTCTGTGAATCTCTCACGGATGTTGCTAATATTTACTCAAAATTCTGAGCATGATGTACATCATGCGTAGTGCTCGTGCCCAAAGTGTGTCCTCTTCTCCGAAAATTGGTACTTAACCTCTTGATATGTTCAGCGCGATCTATTGAACCTGCCGTACATTATGACGTCGTTGATCACCCTGGTCGTTCATCTCCCGTTACAGAATGGAGTCACACCCAGCCGTCGGGACGCACTGACCAGGTATGTGTTCCTCAAATTATATTTCACATCTGTAACAAATTCATTTTCTAATAATTCAGGCATTCTCTTTCCCTTATGGTGCAACTCCAACTGCGTATGATGGCACTACTCCAGGTTCTATAGCTCGTAGCCTTAGTCAAGCTAGCGATTCATATGTTCGTCCTCGCTTTGAAAGACGTGAATCAGCTGCTCGAGTGGCCTATGGTTCAGCAGCGAGTGTTGCGAAACGGTAAGGAATTGACTGTGAGGTTATTATTCTTTTTTGAACTGGTTACTCTTTGCCTTTGCCTTCGCTTGAGTAACTCAGTGATTCAGCGGTGTCGTCGACAGCCAGCGCATGCATCGTGTACGGCTTTCCTCGAGACAATCTTTCGATGTGGATTCGCTACAGTCCGACAGAGCCGGCTCACCTGCTTCTGTGGAAGCCGACCAAGGCACTGAACCTTTTTCTAGGGCAATGGACATAGGTAAGCAAACTCAGGACCATACTGCGAGACAAATTCCATGACTTCCCAATTGTACGTGCTTTTCCATCTAGATGGCTCTGCTGGCTTACGAATGGCTGGAGAAGAGATCACCCACAGAACTGCTTCGCCAATTATCGAAGAATCAGCGAGTGATATATTTTTTGAGCAAGAGGTGCGAAACGAAACAATTCTTTTCGTAGGTCATGTCTTGCACAACTCTTGCAGTATCGTTGTTCCAAGTTTCGAATGTGCAGTTTACAAGGCGTGATTCAGCCAGGTGAGACCAGAACGGGATCACGAGGGATCAGTGCGGCTTCGTCTCAGGCTGAACAGTTTGAGATGGTTGATATGGAACCATCGTCATATGCCACTGCTCGAGAAGGTCTTCGAGGGGTAGTCGCCAAAAAGGGGTCTTTCTGA